GGAACCATGATGATTCTTTTAGGACAGGTATATTTTTATTGAGAATCATAGTTCCTGGTCCTTCAGCAAATTATCTGTGTTAATGTACAATTTATTGTGTGTATCTTGTTTTAACTTACTGTATTTCTGCCCTCAGGAGCAGGATTCCCATGGTGGGGGATTTGACATTAACCAGTCTTTTGTTGGCATGATGTCGGACGTCCACATGTGGGACTACGTCCTGTCCTCCTGTGAGATCCAGAACTACATGGATGAACGTCCCTTCACTTCAGGGAATGTGATCAACTGGAAAGCACTGGACTTCCAAATTGTAAACAAAGTGTTGGTTGAAAAAAAATTTACGTCATGTCACTGAACCTTCAAAACAAGACCATTACTACGTCAGAGAAGACAACAACACCACATCCCTTAGCTTTTTGTGAAGAAGGTTCTCTAACACAACTTATGTCATTGGTTGTACTATAGCTTTCAACTGTAAATGTGACAGATCAAAAAATCATTACTAACATCATTTCCTGATATGTTTTAATTTTTCAATCAATGAAATCATTATTAGAGAGGAGAAAATAAAAGCAATGAATAACCACATGTGATGTGAAAAGAGTCGCTCATTTTGATTATCCTTCAGATAATTATCACTCTACACAAAGATTAATTCATCCTGCCTAACACATTCTAACACAGGCTTGGTTTTGCCCGTGCACTGTCAATAAAGATGTACAAGGCGCCACTTCCTCCCACAGAAATGAAGCCAGAATCTTTTTGATGTGAATGCTGCCATCTTGAGTCTCAGCTTCTCAAAGGTATGAAGAGCAAAATAAAAATTTTTAAGTGCTTCTTTTTGAACGTTCTTATAGTTTTCTGGATCTATAAGGCTCCAGAAATGTTGTGAGTGTTGCTGAGACTTAAGCTGAAAATTATCTTGGCGATTTATAACATTCATCTCCATCTCCACAGGATTGACACTGAACAGTTCAGCCATCGTCTCTGAAATCTCGGTGATGTCTACCTCCATGAAGGGGTTGGCAATGAATGCCACACAGGGCTCCAGCTTATCAAAGTCATTAAACACATCCTCAAACTCCTGCCCTAGCCTGGACAAGAGGTCACAATACTTATGTACATCCAACACATCATCTGCCCCTGCATGGCTTTCCAACATGTTTACCACTGATGGGAAGTGTTGCAGTCTTTTGTTTTTCAGTTACTGGAGGCAAAATGACAGTTTTGCTTTAAGAGCCTTCACAGCACTGATCATGTCAGAGGTGGTTTCCTCTTTGCCTTGAAACTGTGAGTTCAGATGATTAAGTTTCTCTGTTATATTTGTCAGGAAAGCTAGATCAAGCAGCCACTCAGCATCAGACAGGAGGGCAGTGTCCTCCTCTCTTGATTCCATGAAAGCCTTAATATCTTTCAGCAAGGATAAAAAGAGCTGCACTATCTTACCTCTGCTCAGCCACCTGATCTCTGTGTGGTGGAGGACATCACCATACCTAACACACAGTTCCTGAAAAAACAGTTTGAAGCTTCTGTTGTTTGGCCTTTGCTCGAATAGAGTTGATATTTTTAATAACAGGTGTCGTGACATGATCAAATCTCATGACTTTGGAGCATATAGCCTGTTGCTGAATGAAGCAGTGATAGTTCACGATTTTAGGAAAGTCTGGGTCTTCCTTGCACTGTGCAATAAATCCTGAGTGGCGCCCTGTCATAGCTGGGGCTCTATCTGTTGTAATAGACACCAGCTTTTCAATAGGCACTTTTAAAAAAAAACTTCTAATTGACTCTTCTGGTTGCAGTTTTCAGAGGAAGCAATGTCAAAAACTCCTCTCTGGTGGAAAAGCCGTCAAAGACCATCCTTAACAAACACAGCCAACTGGGCAGAACTGGTCGAGTCCATCAACTCATCACACTGAATTAAAAACCATTTGCACCATGTCATGTCCTGCACCAGCTGCCCCATTGCATCTGCAGATAGCGCAGACACTCTCTGTGCCACTGTGTTAGCACCAAGCTGTACATCAGTGGTAGCGGACGTGATTTCAGTCCTACTTTTATGGCCCTAAAATAATGTCATCGCTTCATTCACCATCCCACTGTCGTATATTGGGGTTGCGATGATGTGAAGATGATGAAGGAATCTCCGATGACACCGTCTTGATTGTATTACAAAAAGTTCAGTATCAATACAAGCAAAGCAATCTGCCTGGAGAGAGATTCGGGGCCAATGTAAATCTCCTCTAAGGGGGCAACTTCAACTCCTCGTTTATATAGGAGTGTTGTTTTCGTTAATTTAAAGAAAACACATCTGGTTTCCATCCAGCTCTTCTTGGTTGTCCGGTGACAAGAAGAGAGAAGGCACTAGCTCAAATTTAGTGTACCCCTTAGAACTGTGACCTAATGCCCTACCATACGTTCAGGCTTTCTCCAAATTCCTCAGGACCTGTGGACCTCAAACCTAAAGATAAATTTCTTTTATGGGGAGGACTACACATAGCATTTCAGACACCACACCACAATCGGTGAACAGCTTTTAGTTCTTTGTCAGGATGTGCGCTACTTTAAATGATACATTCGTTGCTGCGTTGGCTTCTTTGTCGGTTAGGTGAATAAACATTGCTGTTTTTCAAATGTTGCTTTGATTCACCTTTTCAGTCCATAGTGTGCAGCCTGCAGAAAAATCATTTTCCTTGATTTCTCAGATATTCAGTTCATGGATCCTATTGATGTTGAGGAGACTGATATTTATGTGTGACTCCAAAATCCAAATTAAAATCTGGAGCTAATGCCTTTAAATGTGGTTTCATAAGGGGACTGTGGGGCGTTGGTGAAAGAGGGGTTCTACAGGATATTTTTGGAAAGTGAAAGGTCTGGAAAACCACCTAAAAGTTTTTGTGTACCACCAGGAGATAAAGTTTTGTATGTACTGCACATTGTTGTTACTGTAGATTCTGTTACACATACAACACAGTATAAGTGTAAATCTCAACCAGCAATTTTAAGCCATTTAAGTGAATAATATAGGTGCAGTTAACCATGTAAATTATAAACTGAGAACAAGGACTATTTCGACATGAGGAGGATTCTGTTGATTCAGCAGAAAGCACTGTATGTTGTCACAACACAGGAATCTGATGAAAAAAAAAAAAGTAGATCAGGAAGCAAACACTCATGTGCACTGAGAAATGGGGAAGCTGTGAAAGAGTCGACCCTGTTCAGTACATCATAATAAATCCTGAGACTGGTTTCAAGGTAGGATCTACACAAGTAAAACTGTAAAAACAAATTCAATGTACTTGTAATAAATGTGTTCTCTTTATATTAGATGACGGTTCTGCTTGTGTTGGCGATGCTGACAGCATGTGCTGTAGGTCTTCAAGGTAAAAAAAAAAAACGGACTGAATTCAAAAAGTAAAAACCATAAATATAGAATTATTTCTGCCTCTTGGTATTTAGCATTACATTTTCATTACAGGCAAGGAAACACCTTAATTTGGATACACAATGTTTTAAAATGTGTACTGKATTGACTGGAGAGTTTTAACAAGGCAAAATATATTCAAATTACCATTTCACTTTTAGCAGTTTGATTCATATTACCTAATTATAAAGGTGTCATTCCCAGATCAAAGTGTGAGATGAACCATTGGTGCTTATTCCACTTTCCAACAAGAATTCATTCCACTCTTTGAACAAACTGACTACCTTATTACAAAAATGATGCAAACATTTTTATTTTGATTTGATAAGATTTGGATTTTACATATTGAGAAGTAATTTATTTCTCAAGGATGTAAATTTGTTGTCACAAATCTTGAATGATGTGCAGTGGCCATATGGTAAGCAGAGCATAAAAAGAGTCAGTGCTTTAAATTAAAATTAAAATCGAGCAAAAATGATACAACAAAAAACTAAGTACATGTACCATTTTTCTCCATCTCTCTCTTCAGATATGTCGGGTCAAATGTTCACTTTCCCACAGCAAAGCAACACTGCTCRTGTGAAGCTGAACGTAGCACAACAGGAGTTAGGGGTTGTAACTCTCTGTCACAGGTAGAACTGAACAAACAAATGCATATATAAGAACTCACTGTTGAACTGACCTGATTGTTAAAAGTATAATGCATGATAATGTCTTTTTGAAACGTCCACAGGTCCTTTACCGACCTCAAAAGAGGCCACGTCCTCTTCTCTCTGGCCACGTCCTTTAATAGCAATGACCTCCTGATTTTTTGGGATCAAGCAAATGAGGAGATGGAGCCTCACATCAGGGATAAAAAGACAGAATATAGAGGGTTCGACTACAAGCCAAACATGTGGCACTCCATTTGTACCACATGGGACTCAGAGTCTGGACTGGTGCAGGTGTGGATTGATGGAATACCCTCGATTAGGAAGTACATCAGCTCTGGATCCAAAATCAGTGGAACCATGATGATTCTTTTAGGACAGGTATATTTTTATTGAGAATCATAGTTCCTGGTCCTTCAGCAAATTATCTGTGTTAATGTACAATTTATTGTGTGTATCTTGTTTTAACTTACTGTATTTCTGCCCTCAGGAGCAGGATTCCCACGGTGGGGGATTTGACATTGACCAGTCTTTTGTTGGCATGATGTCGGACGTCCACATGTGGGACTACGTCCTGTCCTCCTGTGAGATCCAGAACTACATGGATGAACGTCCCATCACTCCAGGGAATGTGATCAACTGGACTGCACTGGACTTCCAGATTGTAAACAAAGTGTTGGTTGAGAAAAAATTTACGTCATGTCACTGAACCTTCAAAACAAGACCATTACTACGTCAGAAAAGACAAAAATTACATAAAATTACACTTGCTAGGCTTTTATGTGCAATCTTAATGCGTCTAAATGTAGAATTAACAGGCAGTAAGATTTGATTTAAATCAAAGTTAGCTGTTTTGTTAAGCAAAAAAACATTAGAGGCACAGGCAGTCAAAATTGCTGCGTACCCCCTGTATTAAAAAAGGGAAAATTATGCTTTTATTTAGGGTATTAAGAAAATCCAAATCCTCTAGCTTTCTGTGAAGAGGGTTCTCTGGCTATCTAACACGACTAAGAAAATCAAAAATCAAAGCAATGAACATGTGATGTGAAAAGAGTCGCTCATTTTGATTATCCTTCAGATAATTATCGCTCTACACAAAGATTTATTCATCCTGCCTAACACATTCTAACACAGGCTTGGTTTTGCCCGTGCACTGTAAATAAAGGTGTACAAGGTGCCACTTCCTCCCACAGAAATGAAGCCAGAATCTTTTTGATGTGAATGCTGCCATCTTGAGTCTCAGCTGTCACTCATGACATTTCATCCTGTTTTTATAGCATCAAATAACTAAAAATTAACAATTGGACATACATCAGTGTGATACTATGCTGTGGCTAGCCACCAGGTGGCAATTGAGACACTCTGGCTTCACTTTTGGGGAGCTGTCATGTCATCCATCTTGATATACAGTCTATGGACAGTTAGTCACAACAAGTTTACATTGCAATAATATCCAGGCTGTGTTTCTGTCATTTATTTTGAAGTTCCTCTGCTCCCTATTCCCCAAAGATATATAAATTCATCTTTAAATTAGTTTTGGTATTTACAAAACCAAATTGATCTTTGTGTGTTATTTTCTGGACATTACAATAAACAATATCTTAATTCAATCAGAGATAAACACTGTTTTGTTTTTTTTCCTTCTCTCAGTTCTTTCGTAACACATCACACATGCTCCCACATGGACTTTAGATTGTTCGTAAGTACGAGTTGTTGTGTTCTGATGCAAATAATAAATATAAGTCTCTCCAATGGATCCATATATTCATAATGTAATAGACTAAAGCAAACTGTAGGGATGGCAATTATTATCATTGAGAAAAATTTTTTAATTTCATTCAATGTCTTGCAG